ATTTTGAATTTCAGCGTGGAAGGTCTGGAAAATAGAAAACAACTCAGATTGATTTTTTATCAAAAATATCCAAGTGCACCTGGAATAATCATCAATAAAACTGACAAAGTAGCGTAATCCCAAGGTAGAACTAACCCGATTAGGACCCCAAACATCCGAATGGACTAAAGTAAAAGGTGACTCTGCTCGATTATCAAGACGCCGAGGGAAATGGGAGCGGGTATGCTTACCGAGCTGACATGACTCACACTCTAGAGCTAACAAGTGAGATAAATCAGATACCATTTTCTGAAGTTTTGACAAACTAAGATGTCACAACCGTTTATGTAATAAATCTGGTGAATCAGTAACTGGACAAGTTGTAGAAGGAAGACAAGATGTGAGTCCATATGATTTAGCAAGGATAAGGTAATAAAGTTTGTTTGATTCACGCCTGGTACCAATGATCCGCCCCGTACTGCATTGCTGTATAAAAACATGGTCATCAAGAAATAAAACAGCGCATTTAAGTGATTTGGCTAAGCGACTAACAGCTATAAGATTAAAAGGACTATTGGGAACATAAAGGACTGAATCTAAAGGTAAGGAAGGAAGTGGGCTTGCTTGACCTATTGCAGTTGCCATGGTTTGAGACCCATTGGCCATTGTGACTTTTGGAAGAGATTGAGAATACGAAATAGTAGTGAAAAGAGATTTGTTACCAGAAATATGATCTGATGCACCTGAATCAATGACCCAACACTCAGAGGATGAAGATTGGGAGAAACAAGTCACGATATTACCTGTTTGAACAACAGAAGCTATCTCAGAAGATGTCTGCTTACATGCTTTATACTGAAGGAACTCAATATACTCTGCTAAAGAAACCATCCGACTATTCAAAGCATCGGTTCCCATATCGCTACAATTTGTAGTAGTAGGGTTAACTTGAAATAGTGGAAATAAGTAACTCCTGTGAGAAAACTGAAGAAATAGCTTGAAAAACACTGTTTACAGCAGGAAAACAGATCATTGATCTGTGCCGGAAACACTGTAGCTCGCCGGAAAATTCCAAAGTTATCGGAATTTGTCGTAACCAGGATGGATAGACTCGGAATTCCTTTGCGAGCAAGCTATCCTGAAGAAATATTTTCAAAAAAATGGCCGGAAAGGTCATTGTTCCCGCCGGAAAAATATAAAAGTGGTCGGAATTTGATTTGAATTAGATAGGTAGGCTCGGAATTTTGAGGAGAGCACACTGTCATGAAGAAGCTTCGCGAAAAAATGCCGAAACCCTCGCCGAAAAAGTTGTTGCCGGCGCGTGGAGGAGCGTGGCGGCTTTTCTGCCGGATAAAATCTCAGGGGTTGGTCGTCGGAGGATGATCTACCTCGTGGTGGTATTGGTTTTAGCACAACACCGACAGAAAGTGACTTTCACTTAGACAAGCCTTAGGTCACCGGAAAAATTGCACGATGACTAAGTTCTTTCTTCCCATTTAACGCTGGAATGACGCACAACGATCTTTTCTCACTAATGCTCTGATACCATGTGAGAAAGCACGGGAGAAAATATGTTATTGATATTGGATGATAAATACAATACAAGATGTCCCTATTTATAGCTATACACTACAAGGAGATATTATTCCTCTTTCAATGTGGGACAAGACTACACTATACATATCTGTAAACTAACACATGAGATGACTCGGACTCGGCCAATATAATGAGTTAATAGTAGAACCCAAGTTAGATCCACACAAGGATAAACATAATTAAGACGAAAAATTTCCTTCAATATATGGGAAAGAATAACTTCATGTTTAAAGATTATATTGCTCAACTACATGGAATACCTTACGGAAGAAACTTCATTGCACCCACTATCGAATTACCAGTCATAAAGATCTTTTACAGAGCATTTATCATGGGGCCTAAACTCAGTGGCAAGAGAGGGCCCCCAAAAAATCAGGGGGGGCTCTTCTACCTTCCTTTAATCCCTTAAAAAGTGGAAAAAGAACAGAATTAGGAGTGAAAGGGCTTCAAGAAGTTAGGATTCCACGAAAAAGAAACTTGCTTGGCTCGTCCATAACTTGGCTAGGTCGACACCGGGGACTAAAGTATGATATAGTGGTGGAACTACATCCCCACATGTGTTTTTTTAAAGGGTAAGTATTTTAATTGATAGCATCAGAGGATGCAACGAAAAATGCAATTAAGATTAGCTCCATTGCATATTAGTTGAATTTGTGCACATTGCACCAGCAAAAGAGGTTAGTCAAACACCTAGCTTTCAGAGAGTGGTTGCGAGTTAGAAATCCAACAAAACACCTGTGATTTCTTTATATCCATATGCACCACAAAAATACCGGCAGGAAACATTAGCCAGATTTTCTTCACTGGCTTTCTAACTCTCCAAAGACCCCAGCTTGTACAGGCATCTCTAATAAGTGTAAGACCAACACTTTGGTCTCAAGCCAAATCAGACTATGAAAAGGTTTTGTCTCACCTATTTTGTTTTCCCATACTTACCTGGAAAAGGAATACCAAGCACACTGATGTAACTGGGATACATCTACCTCATATATTTATCAAATTAAGAAACCGAATGCCACAGGAGATGAAAACTGTATTAAGTGTGAAATCGCAAACTCCAGCTCTGAAAATACCTCAGCAAGATTGTGGCCCTGGCGTCTTTTGTCGATAATGGCTAAAGGTGCATCAGATAACTTTTTTGCAAAAGCACGTGCTCTAGCAACTCCTCCAACATCAGGAGAGACCACCACCAGATCATTGGAACAAATCTTCTTGCTAGCAAGGTAATCAAGGATAACAGGCTAGCATGTACAGAAAAGGCAAACTGCCTATCAGCTAAATAAATTTTCAGTTCTTAATGATACTAACATACTGAAAGATTACCTGACAGTACACATGGTCCACTGGAATGTCAAAATAGCCCATGGATTGCCCAGAGTGAATATCACAAGCAAGAACACGATCTGCACCTGCTTTCGTTATCATATTTGCAACCAATTTGGCAGCAATGGATTGACGACCTTGTGTCTGAAGCCATAAAAAATATGATAAATAAAAACCTACTTAAAATGTTCCTTTTTGTTAATTATTTATTTATGTCAAAGACCAGAAGCTGCAAACATCGTTTCCTTTTCTTTTCAACAAGTGATAACTCCTTGGAGTCAAAAAATATGAAAACTAAACAAACATAAAATCTGCACACAAAAGAAACTTGCCTTCCTATCGGCTCTGGCATATCCAAAATATGGAATCACCGCGGTGATTCTTTTGGCTGAAGCCCTTCGGCATGCATCTACCATCACCAAAAGCTCCATGAGGTTTTCATTGGCTGGAGGGCAAGTGGGCTGAATCAAGAAAACATCACAGCCTCGAACACTCTCCTGCAACTGGACATAAATTTCACCATCAGCAAAGCGCTTGATGTTGATCTTTCCCAGTTCAAGCCCCATGTTGCAAGCAGTTTCCTAAGCGATAAAGAAAAAGACTGCATCAGCTGAGAAAATAAGTATGAAATAAAAGTTGACAGTATTTCAATGGATTTCACAGCTCGAATAACAATTCATGCAGCAACTAAACATTTTAGACATAGATAAGGACGGTGGCAACTTTTGAAAAAAGTAAAATGAAGAAATACTACTCAATTATCCTTCTTTTTTGTTATCCATCATCCTTCTTCACTGGTCTTCCTGCTTAATTTTTTTAATTTCAATTTTCATCACCTTGATATATAGGACCGGAAAATTAAGACCACAAAGAAGAGAGGGGAGGGGGCTGTTTGCTGTAATCCTTAACATTATTAAACTGAATAAAATGCATTTCTACTTCACTTCCCATACAATCTTTAAAAGACTGGCAATCAATTGGAGTATGAAATATATCAGTTAATTCAGTTTTTACTTCACGAGGAAAGAGAAATTGAAGCAACAGTGTCCACCTTGAAACATAAACCATCTTCTGTAATAACAAACTATAACCATGTAGGCACAATGGAATAAGCTCAAGGGAAGGAAAAATATACAGTTACAGGGAGTTCCACATGATTTAGTGACCTTTTACTCGTGTGACAAGTACACGTCATGTGTATTTGTTTGACACGTTAGATGATGACAAACTAAGCTACTAAGACCTCATATATCCCCCATCACAATACCCCACCCCACCCCCCACACACAAAAGAAAAAGGAGAAGCAACAAAGTCTTAAAATAACTTACTCCCTATGTTCCAATTTATAAGACACTCTTTCCATATAGGAAGCTCCAAAATGTTTAGCATTCTATTTCTATACCACTTTTCAAAATTTAAATTGGTCTTAGATGAGCTTAAGTGGCGCAACATGGTCAGTGATTCATATAGCCAATCCGAACTTGAGTTTGGAATTGAGGTGTAGTTGTTTTTTCCGGGATTCAAATTCATAAGACTATTCTGTCTTGAAAGACCTACAATTTCTTGGAATCCATGCAGAATTAGCTTAAGATAGGGAACAATGAAAGAAAAAGATCAATATAGGTGTATATCAACTAGTTGGGAATATGTTTGTCATGTTAGCACGTTTATATAGCTCTGATGCTTTACTAGGAGTATCTTAACCTTATATATATATATATATATATATATATATATATATGTATGTGTGTGTGTGTATTACTTTTGCTTATATTTGGTATGATTATGGATGATATGAGTTTAAATGAAGAAACATGGTCAGTGAGGATTTAGACCGCAACTTGATTGGTACTGAGGCGTAATAGTTGTTGTTATTCACACTTTAACTTTGATGTGATATTTCCCTCTTTTTTGACCACATATAAGTTATCAAGTTAACATCTTAAACATCATGCCCAGTCAAACAATGCCACATAAAATGAAATGGGTGATGTCACATAAAATGAAACCGAGCAAATTTATACTTCCACCCTTGTCCTTAAGAAGCTCCATCATCAAAGCACACAACAGTATACAACTTTTCGGGTGGGGAAGAGGTTGGGATACTACGTGATACAAGTCAACAACCTGTCTATCGAAGTATCAACTTAGAATCTTGGAAAATATTGAATGTAACAGCCAACCTTTCATCGTTCAAAATTTACAGAGAATATATAAGAGGATCCCAGTGTCATTCAAGAGAATAGGGATAATGTTACACAAAAGTAAATTAAAATGGGAGATCACAAAAGGTGGACAGAAAGTAAAGTGGGAGATCACAAAAAGTGGACAGAAAGACCTTATAGTGACATCAAAGACAATGTCAGTATATGGCATTACTGATAACTAGGCATCCCCCAAGTCCATCATATAGTCATATATAGAATTATTTACCTGAGAAAGTGAAGGATTTGCAGTTCCGGAAAATATCTTCAGCTTGGTGCTGTTACTTTTAACTGCATTCTGTAAGCGTTTCGCTTGCAAGAATGCTGAAAGTGTCTCGTCATTAATAATTGGAATAATAGGCTTCTCATCCACTGGCTTATTGATTTCACAATTCTTAGACAAAAAAATGGACAAGCATTAATAAAACAAACAAGTTTAATTTGCATTAGCTCCACAGACCTTGAACCAACCAAATAGGACATTTGACAAAGTGAAGAAAAAGAAAGTCTTTTTGCCTTCAAAGAGATAGACCTTTTGTCTCTTATTCCAAACTATAGACAAACAGTAAAAGTTTCTACTCCAAGAATGGCAGCATTCAGAGTACAAAGTTATAACAAACTAATCNATATATATATATATAGTACACTAATCACAATTTCTTTTAAGGTAAATACTTTTTATGCAAGAAAAATTGTTCAAGTAGTTATAGTATGACTATTTTGGGAAAGAACGAGTAAAGTAGAGAAGCATAATAATAAAAATAAAGGGTGGTGGAAATTACATGTTACACATCATAATCATTTGTCATAACTTATAAACAAGAACCAAATAAGAAACTATGAGAAAAGGGGGGGAAAGAGAGACAGTAACCAAAAAAAAAAGGATTACTTTCATTACATCTCCTCCATCTAAAAGATCAATAACCAAATTAGTTTAACTGAAAGTGGTCATGAAATTCTGCCTCAAGTCAATGACTGACTGATGAATAACTACATATGACTACATTGAATTTATTTTTTAGACTAATCATCAACCAATAACAAAGCTTAGATAAATGAAATTAACCATGACAAACAAATGAGAGAAAGAAAAATGAGGAAGTTAATTAGTACTTACTACTACGTAGCTGGGAAGCCGGGTTCGTTTGGTAACGAAGGCTGTGTGTCTGAGTCTGAGAGAGGAGCAAGAAGAAGAGAAGAGACAAGTAGAGGAAGAAGAGAGGGAAGTTGAATAAGACGATGGCAAAGTTAAAGAAGCCATCAAAATCAGAAATGGATCGGCAGTTGAGACTTGAGGAAGAAAGAGGTCGACTCGCCGAGTTTTTGCTTCTCTTATTTGTGTGGGGCTGCTTTTGTTGTCAGATGATTTTGTCTCCTAGGTTTGATAGTGACAACAATCTTTCTTCTATATAGTGGCTATATAGCACTACTTCACGTGTTGCTTTCTTTTAAGGAAATAAAAAAGAAGATATAACGTGTTTTTGTCCTTTTATTTTCAAGTACTACGTGTTGTTCGTTGCTGGAGCGGTGAGCACGCTCCAGTTCTAATCAAGAGTTTGTGAGTTCGAGTAATTTCAAAAATAAGTTGGGGAGTTTCTTGAAGGGAGGTAGCCAAAGGTCTATCGGAGATAGTATCTCTGCCCAAGGGTAGGGATAAGGTCTGGTACACACTACCCTAGGTAGGGACAAAGCCTACGTACACACTATTCCAAAAGTGCAATTGGGTGGTCACACTTCCAAATGTTCCACAAAAGGGCTTTTGGCTTGCAATTTGTGGAAAAAATCTATTTGTCTATCGAAAACAGCCTCCCTACCCTAGGTAGGTGTAAAGTTTGCGTATAAACTACTATCATCAGATCCCACTAGTGGGATTATACTGGGTTGTTGTTGTATTGCGTGTTGGTTCACTTACTTTTTCGGGGAATGTTTGGAACAAAAGTGCAATTGGGTGCTCACAATTCCAAATGTTCCACAAAAGGGCTTTTGGCAAAGGGCTTTTGGCTTGCAATTTGTGAAAAAAACCTATTTGTCAAAAATATACACATTGTAATTACTGTTTTCAAATCTGTGTTTTTTTTTCATAAAGGTGGGGAAGAAATTAGTTTGTAAGTGTCTCGATTAATTCACGTGATTTTTATTGCGCATCTCTGGCTTAAGATGTCAATAAAAATAAATACGCACGCACAAACTTTATGAATGAAATGCTAAAATAAAAGGCCAAGAAACTTTTTTGCTACAACAGAAGACAATTTTCATGAAAAATATTTTACAAAAAATGCTTTCCATGAAATATATTATCCTATAAAGTAATTTTAAAAAAATATATAGATTAAAGACTAATAATAGTATTAGCAATTGAGTAATATCTTATTTATCAAAAAAACGTTGAATAATATCTTGGCGAAGTTTCAAGTATTAAAGACTAATAACAATGTCTAGTATTATTTGGAGGCTTGAAGCAGGTGAAATTGCAAGTTCAAACTTCAAACAGTTGGTAGGAAAATAACTTTCGTTCCATAAATGAAGGAAAACGCTTTCCCCTTGAAAAACATTGTCTGCTGACCAAACACCAGCAAAAGACTTCTCACATAAAAATAATTTCGATCATATCAAACACAGCTAATGCTAAAAAAAATTATTTGATCCAACAGTAGTATGTGATCCTTGATCCCAAAGATGTGGGGAATTCAATGCAGACCATGACCGAGACAAACTTATCACTTCTCAGCAGACATTGATCACAAAAAGCATGACCAAACGAAGTTGTTTAGGAATCACAGAAAACAAAGTAAAAGAGCATTTTAGATGACAAGAAATGACAAGAACTATAGACACTGTTGACGGATCAGAAAGTAAAGTTATTCTTACATGAGCACCTGTAATATAATACCAAAATTTTATATGAGCAAAAACTAGTGCTTACAGTCGAAAACTAAAAGTTGCTACTTGCCAAGGTACTAAAGCAATTAAATTTCAGTTTAATTCTAGGATATATAGTATACACACAATTATAGCTCTAAGTTAAAAGCAAACCATCGCTGGAGCGGAAGCATTAAGAGTCCTTCTGCTAACTGGTGAAAGATATCAACCAAGTCTGTATTTATATCCGAGATTTAAGTATCAGGATAGCATGACTATAACCTTGACCAGTGTTCCAGGGTTTTATTGCATCATCCCAAAAAAATGTTAGCTGGTTTCTGGAGATTGGTTTACTGATTCAGTCTCCTGAAAATATAGGTGGAAGAGATAAGTCAGTCACTGTCCTAGTTCTCGAAATAAATCATCTAAAGAGTATATGCTCGAGAGACAATGTCTGAAGCAGTTTAAATCCAAAATAGAAAAATACCATATCAAACAGAATCACTCCCAGAAATCTGAAAAACTATAATCCCAGGAAGGTCGTAAGGGTCTCCTACAGCACAAGCTTGACCAAAAGAGAAATAATAACAAATTAAAAATGAAAAAAGGTTCTTCATAGACATGGAACTTCTAAAATAAATAAATTTAGAACACCAAAAGTACTATTAGTGGCAGTCTTGTATTCTAATATTGTAGATTTCTATCACTACATGTTGTTCCTTTCGCCTTGTTTTCTTTTATCTTGTTCTCGTTACTGCTTGTTGCTACTGCTCTATTCTAATTTTTCCTCGTGACGAGGGTCTAATGGAAACAACCTCTCTACATTCACTGTAGGGGTAAGGTTTGCGTACTATCTACCTCCCCAAACCCCACTTGTGGGACAATACTGGGTTTGTTGTTAATGTCGGAAGGACCTCACTTACACGGTATTGTGCAATCCTGTCACCACAAATTTATTTTTCATGCAATTGGGTAGTTAGGAATTTTGCTCACAACCAGTAAACAAAGAATTTGAAAGCAATTAAGTGGTTGAACTTTCGCACCATAGTAAGCTATAACTAAAGAGGTGCCAGTAATGGTCTAAAGTCTAAACTAACACATGTCGACTCTAGGTAGTTTTTCAGTTGTAATACTAGATAAACCCCATNAGAAAGTTTCTAATACCTGCTGTGTGGCTTGAGCCCTAGATAAGGTCTTGAGCTGGCCGTTTTCCATGTTTGAGAGCAGCTGCATTACAGTTTTCAGCTGCGGAACACTGCAATCATTAACTTTGACATGAGAACAGTTGAAAATTGAGTGATCAAAGACAACTGACTTATGGAAGAACGATTCTTCCATCTTAAAGAGAGCAATTTGCATTGCCAATATGGAAGTATGACTAAACTAACATCAAATAGACTGATATCTGATCTCGTCTTGAATCGCCTCTTCATCATCATTAGCTGATAATCATCTCTTATACAAGGAATTGCACTAAAACTTGCCCTAAAGATGGTTCAAAGTAACTACTATGGTAACAAAGCTCAAAAATGAAAGTGGATTGACAATAGCATGAACAAGATTGATCAAAGTGTTCCTTTTCAAATATTGGATATATCTGTTAAGGAGTTATTATTGGACATATCTGTTAAGGAGTTATCTCAGCCAATGAAGTATGCCACTCTCCGTTTACAATGTAAACAAAAATTTACCGAAATTGCACCATACTAGGAAATATAGAAGATGAAGAACTTGACAGATCAACCTTCACCTTTCCGGTTATGCCAAATATTTGGTGTCAGTCAAACCATATTCCGGCTAAAGGAAAGAAAAATGTATTACTCAGAAGCTTGATGTGCAGTCTGTGGTCAATTTCATCTTCTTCCATCTATCCATTAATCTTCATCCTTTAGATTTTTATGAAGCTTACAAGTATGGAAAGACTGTAATCTTTAAATCTAGTTATCCGGTTAAATGATGCCAAAGTATTAGATCCTCAATATCAACACTCAGGTTGTTATTCTACCAGTTCTCAACATACAAACCAAATATAGGAAAACAGAATAATCATGATTATCCGCCAATCACCATAACCTTCAAAAGCTCTTTTAGGTGCTTCAAGTTCTACTTTTAAATCTCAAAAGAACCTTAATTTTCTTTTTCTATTTTTCTTTGTGATAGTTAAGAACTTGAATTTCTTTTTGAAGCTGCAAAAGTTCTACTTTACCCTATTAAACACAAACCTTAATGGTTAAAAATGTGAAAGTCCATGCAAGTTTGGAGTAATTTATTGAAAGAAAGTTGTAAATCACATCTTAATGCCTAACTTGCAAAGATGAGGTTCTATGCAACCCTAACAGACTAGAAGCACTGATTTATATTAAGATCTCATTCTCTTTAGACTTTACACATAATGCAAATCTTTCCTCTTATCCCTTCCTCTCGCGCTACAAAGAGAGCTGTTCAATGTAAACTTTTCCATTGGAGCATTACCTAATTAGCTCCAGACCCTGAAGCTACTTTCTTTTTCTGAAGTAAAGGCCAGGTATACTTTTTAGCGGAAATAAATTTTCTGAGTAGTGATCAGCATACCAATTACAATCAATCCTGGATCATTTAAGCCTTGAAACTGTGTACAAACACCGAGATGCATGTAAAGTCTACTTTGAAAGAAAAAATCTAAAGAACAAGGTAACTTCATCAACCATTAGTTTGTAATGCCGTGAATGGGCGAAAAAGGCTTACCTTTGTAACCCGTTTTCCATATGAGCATCCAATGCTGAAATCACCTGAGGCAACTGCTCCAATACCTGCAACGAGTAAAATTAAAGCAATAGAAGGCTTCCTCCGGGTTCATCTTAATTAAAACTCATAAATTATAACAACATGAGGTCCTGCATACCAACTCTGTATTCTTGATTGTAGGTGTCTTAGCAAAAAGAGTCTTTGGTAGCTTCATCAGTTCTGCCTGAACCAACATCGAGAAATCTATCAGCAAGACACGTGGTAGACACTAGGGCCACAATCTATTTAAACATTCTTAACCCAGAACATTCGATCAAAAACTTTAAATGATTTAGAATTATTGAGAATTGTAAAGATTATATAGAACAATATTCTTAGCGGAGTGACATCATACAACTTAGAATGTCTTCAAATGAAAAGAGTGTCATATAAATTGAAATGGATGGGACAATACAATAGAGGTAAAATATACACTGATACATAGAGCAAAGCTGGAAGTAATTCGACAAAAATCCCTAATTAGAAGCTTATTGCCTTGAAGTTCAACTATAATCTTGATTATATATGGAGCTGCATATAGCATTTTTGGGCATATCCGTGAGGACACTTTAGCTATTAGAGGAAAAACCAAATAAATCACTTGCTACAAGAACACAAACAAACAGATTAATAATTAATTATTAGAAAATGACGGATTTGAAAGAGAGAGAAAAAAAAGGAAGTGCCTGAGATGGGGAGGACTGAAGCATGAGATGGAGGAGATTGGAAGTGGACTGAATAGACTGAATGATTTGATCAGCTACCATCGTTTTAG